GTTCAAATCTATCTTTGTTTTATTTTTCTAATGTGTTTAAGGTGAAAACTAGAGCAAATATGTGTTACTATTTTTAACTTGTTTGACATACCCTTTTTTTCTGTAACCCCATTTTTTTTTTTCTGTTTTACTTCAGAATGGCAACTTAAAACCAGTGGGTCAGCACTTTTGCAGAGCATTATTTGTTCAAAAGCATCCAATGGGATTGAGACGGTAAGACAAACAAGAGAGTTTTATTTGCCACATTCAGAAAAGAACGTTGAGTCCATTATGGGACTTGCAGCGATGAGCAGCACTAGTCCAAGGCCAGGACATCTCCAGAGGCTGAAAGGTGGGAAGAGTGTCTAGGAATTCCCTGTGTCCAGTCTGGCCCTTCAGGGTTCCCTGGAGCATTCATTGCCACATGTGTAACTAGCTAGCTGGATGTTCTGATCAATTCTGTGGAAGTCTATAGGAATCCCTTGGGATTAGAGCAGGTGACACAGGTTCTTGAGGTAGGTTCTTTCAGCTTGAAAGAATCTACAGGGCAAAAATTGTCTTTAGTGGGTGAAATCTGTAAGTCGGTTTCAGAAATCCTTTAATCTTTGTTTATTCCTCACCAGCAGGGAGGAAGCCGTGGTGGAAGGGGGCCCCATGACCGTGAGCTGTGCAGAGGCACTTGTGGCAAGGACACGTGCCTTACCACATGTGTTCAAACTCAAGACACAGGGGACATGTGTTTCTCTGATCAATGTGGGAAATGTTTTACTCTCCACAAGAAAACCTCTACTGGCGAAGAATTCTCTATGTTGACTTGTCATGGAAAAGGCTTTAGCTTGAGTCCAGAGGATGCCTGCCACAAAAGGAGCGAGGGACACAGTGGGGAGGCAGCCCAGCCTCAGTCCTGCCCTTGGGCACACTCAGGAATGCTCTCTGGAGAGGAACTCCGTGGAGGCAAGCAGTTTAGGGTTGTCCCTACCCTCCCTACAGGCTGGGCAGGGCCTGCTACAGGGAATGCCCATGGACGTGAGGAATGTGGGGAATTCTCTAGGTCCCCTTCTGACCTTAAAATTAACGAGGGAGCTCACACTGGGGAGAAGCCCTGCGAACTTAGGGAATGTGGGAAACCCCTGGCTCTTCCTTCCAGCCTAACTGCACAGGTAGAAATTCATAGCGGAAGGAAACCCTATCAATATAAGGGGTATGGAAATGCCTTCCCCCAGTGCTCGGGCCCCTCTGACCAGGGCTGCACACACACTGGGGAGAGGCCCTGTGGACGTGAGGAATGTGGGGAAGCCCACAGTCGGTTTTATCTACTAACAAAGTGCTTAAAAACTCACAGGAGGGAAAAGCTGTTTGAATGTAAGGTGTGTGGAAAACCTTTTAGAAATTCCTCTTGCCTGAATAACCACGTTCGAATTCACACAGGAGCAAAGCCCTACAGGTGTGGGCAGTGTGGGAAAGCCTTCACCGTGCACTGCGGCCTCACCAGGCATGTGCGAACTCACACTGGAGAGAAGCCGTACGCATGTGGGCAATGCAGCAAGGCCTTCTGTACACCTTCCACTCTGGCGGAGCACAGGAGGACGCACACAGGGGAGAAGCCCTACCGGTGCAGGGTGTGCGGGAAGGCCTTCTCAGTCGCCTCCAGCCTCACTGAGCATGCAAGAACCCACACTGGGGAGAAGCCCTATGTATGTCAGGAGTGCGGGAAATGCTTCACTGGGCGCTCAGGCCTCTCGAAACATGAGCACACACACACTGGAAAGAAACCGCACGCTTGTGAGGAATGTGGGAAGGCCTTCAGTAGGTTTTACCTGCTAAATGAACATTTGAAAACACACACAAAGGAGAGGCCTTTTGAATGTATTGTGTGCAGGAAATCCTTCAGAAGCTCCTCCTGCTTGAATAAGCACGTTCAGATTCACACTGGAGTGAAGCCCTACAGGTGTCAGCACTGTGGAAAGGCCTTCACCGTGGCCTCAAGCCTAACCGAGCACATCCGAACCCACACTGGGGAGAAGCCCTACACTTGTGGGGCGTGCGGGAAGGCATTTGCCACATCCTCCCACCGAGTTGTGCACGTGAGGACGCACACTGGAGAGAAGCCCTACAGGTGCAGAGAGTGTGGGAAAGCCTTTGCTTCCTCCTCACACCTGACTGAACACGTCAGAACCCACACTGCGGAGAAGCCCTATGTGTGTAAGGAGTGTGGGAAGGCCTTCCGTGCTTCCTCACACCTACGTAAACACATGAGAACTCACACCATGGTGTGAAGGCTGCAGGGCACAGGACCGAGCAGAGCAGCGTCCGTTATCCACACTGCAGAGGATCTGTCTGCACGTGGAAAGCCTTTGTGGTCCTTACACCTCAGTTGTCTGATGCACGCTGACGAGAAGCCTTGTTAATGTGAAGCATGTGGAAAGCCCTTGGTTACAGCAGCTCACTTTGAAGATGGACAGATACTTGAGGGATGCCCTGTCCGTTGGAGGGACATAGCAGAACCACTGGGACCCGATCACCACCCAGTGTAGAAGAATCCTGGCCTGGTCTGTGTGGGCAGCGTAGATGGCCCTCACGGAGGCCTGGGGGCCTCCTCGCTCTGTGGGCCTCAGAGTGGGGAGGAGCCCTGCAGATGTGTATCTGTGGAGAAGCCATAGTTCTGAGCCAGGTGAGTGGAGACAAGGGTTATGGAGGTGAGAGGTGTTGGGAAGGCATCATCTTCCCTATCACATTTCTCCTCGGTCTTTGGCTGACACAGTGACTTACATCCAGGAGAGACTGGAGGGCAGGACCTGGGACTTGCCCCCAGTGCTGGGAGCTTGTCTGTGGGCAGACACAGCTCTGTGGGTGCACTTTGGAGATTCATGGTCACTCCTGGCTGACTTATCACCGCTATCTGCAGTCACAGCCCTACTGTCCTGTTGCCCCATTGGTTGGCAGCCTGTGGAAGGTGGGCTCTTGGGGTCTGTATGTGTTCCTGCTGTGGCCATGGGGCCACTGGTGGGCGTGTCACACTCACATCCACCTACAGTGGCTCACACTGGCCAAAGTGGGAACAAGAGACACTCTGATGGTACCTGTTCCCCTCTCATACCCATCCTTAGAGCTGGGAGGTCAGGGTCCAGGAGGGCAGAGTGGAGGAGGGGTGTAGTGACAGCAAGTGTGCCATGTGGTACCCCGAGTTGTGACCTTGTGGGGAACACCATAGCCCTGCACCCTGGCAAGTTGGGAGTCTCACCATTAGGCCTTGCAGGCAGCTGTGAGAACCTTGAATGTTGCCATTGAGCCAGAGGTCCAGACCCCGAAGCGTCCAGCACTGGAGGTGACACCTTCAGCGTGTGACTTGTCCATCCGTGTGCTGCAAAAGCAGAAACTCCTGACAGTCTGGCTGTGCCATGCCACTGTGCTTGCCACCATTGCCACTTCCTGAGTGTGGCCTTAGGGCCACACAGGCAGCACCACAGGGTTTCAGTCTCGGGGACCTGTGTCTCTGCACCTTTGCACTCCAGCACCTCGGCTTACGCATATTGTGCCCATCAGGGCCACAGCTCCTGAGGCCTCTTGGCATTTGGTCACCCAGTGGTGGCTGTGAGAGTTCCTGCTGGAGAGGAGGGCTGTGCCCTGGGGGCTGCCTGGAGAGGAAGGCTATGGCTCTTTGGTGAAGTTGAGCCTTGCTGTTTGTCCCATTGCCCCTTATTGGCAGTGACACAGCCTCAGCCTGTCCCAGCTGCCATCCCTATTGTCTGAAGTGAGTCCTGTAGACCCTGCAAGACTACAGGACTGCAGGAGGGTGCTCCCAGGAGCTTGAGGGCCAGTACCTGTCACAGGTGGAGGTGGCCCACAGATTAGGCTCATCCTTGTGCCTGGACTCCTGCTGGGAGCACCAGTGACAGGACCCCAGTCCCTGCCAACACATGGCCCTGCTTTCTCCCCTAGAGAAGCTGAGTGCTTAGTCTACCCCAAAGCAATTTTGGAACTCTTTCTGGAATGGCCATCAGAGCTGTCTTCGTACAAGGGAGGACAGTTAAGTTTGTGAACATGCTAGTAAAAGTGCTATGTGCCTCGTTGCTGAGTGTTGCCCCAGGAGCTCCTCCCTTCAGCCATCTGGTAACGGTAGTGATACTTGGCAGTGAGGTAGGTAGCACTTTTTCTAGGATGAGTTTGAAAACTTAACTATAATGTAACCCTAATAAATGTGCCATTATGAAAAGTTTAGTTGTCTTCCTGATCAGTGGTGCATCTTCTTTCTTGATGGTGTCTTGACTATCCTTGGCTTTTGTTCTGCTGTATGCCTTTTAGAGACAGTATTCTGGCTTAGCACCTGTCACTTAGTGGTTAGGGCACCAGCCACATACACTGGGGCAGGCGGGTTTGAACCTGGCCCAGGCCTAATAAACAACAGTGACAACTGCAACAAGAAAATAGTTGGCATTGTGGTGGGTGCCTGTAGTCCTAGCTACTTGGAAGGCTGAGGCAAGAGAATTGCTTAAGCCCAAGAGTTTGAGGTTGCTATGAGCTGTGATGCCATGGCACTCTACCCAGGGTGACATACTGAGACTTTTGTCTCAAACAAAACAGTATTTCAGTTTCTACCAAAAAAACTTTGGGATTGCCTTGAGTCCATAACTGAGTTTGTGGAACATTGGCATCTTTTTTTTTTAAAATCTCACTTTATTTTTTGTTAATCAGGCACAGTTGAAGTCGAACTCACTGTCTCTGATGTATGAGGCTGACGCACTAACCACCGAGTACAGTACCTGAAAACCGGCATCTTGGTAGCACTCTGTCTCCCAGTCTGAGTGAGGCCGTGGTGTGTCGACATTTAATGCGTTTATTTAGTTCACTGGTTTTAATGTTGCACCTTGAAGTTTTATCTTCTCCACAGAGGGATTACTCTTTTGTGTAGGTTCATCTTGAGTATGTACAAAATTGTTGTGCCATAATGAAGTTGTCCATCCTGCTCAGTGGCTTTCCCAGGCACCTTCTGTCCTCAACACGAGGCCTAGCTGGGTGGATTACGTCTGCAGGCCCCGCCCAGCACCCTCTGCCTTCCCTGGGCCGTAGCTTATGGATGTAATTGTACATGCCATCTGTGCTCTTGGGATTTCTGTGTTTGGGGGAAGTTTTCTCATTGCCTGTTTTAGCATTTTCTTGTTTGTTTTTTCTGTTGTCATAGAACAACTTATATTTGGATGTTGGAACTTTATCTTTCACCTCCTACATGATTTATTTAATTTACATCCTTTCTACATGTTTTCTTTTTGAACTGCATCCTGGGAAAATTCCTTGACTCAATCTTTGAGATCTTCTTTTTAAATTTGAGCACTTGCTGCTAAACATCCCCTCCTGGCACTGCTATCACTTCATCTGCCTTACGTCCGCTGTTATAACAAGACACCGTAGGCTGGGTAACCACCTAAAGCAGCTGGAAGCTATTCTGCACAGTTCTGGAGACAGTGTCCAGGGGCAAGGCACTAGCAAACCCAGGTGGGCACTGCCGTCTTTTTCTGGCTCATGGTCAGTCATCTCCGTAAGGTATTCTTCCATGTCACAGGTGGCACGGTGTCTCTATGACAGAGGGGCAGTCATCCCATTCTGCAGAGGCCTCACGACCTCTTCACCTCCTATTAAAAGGCCTGGACTTTTTAACACAACCATTACGGGGGTTAAGATTTCATGGTATGGGGCGGCACCTGTGGCTCAGTGAGTAGGGCACCAGTCCCATATACCGAGGGTGGTGGGTTCAAACCCAGCCCCAGCCTAACTGCAACCAAAAAATAGCTGGGTGTTGTGGTGGGCAAGCACCCGTAGTCCGGCTACTAGGGAGGCTGAGGCAAGAGAATCGCTTAAGCCCAGGAGTTGGAGGTTGCTGTGAGCTGTGATGCCACAGCATTCTACCAAGGGCAATAAAGTGAGACTCTGTCTCTATAAAAAAAAAAAAAAAGATTTCATGGTATGAGCATTGAGGAGAAAGGAATATTTAGACCAGTGGTTCTCAACCTTCCTAATGCCACAATGTATTTTTATTCTTAAAAAGGGGTCGGACCCACAGGTTAGGAACCGCTGATTAGACTGTAGCAGGATTGCCACAGGTTCTGGTGCACACATTTTCATTGTTCTTGGGGATTATCTCATTGGAGCCACTAGTTGGTCAGGAGTGTATTATTTGTAATAAAACATATTTGTGAATGTTTCAGTTTCCTTCTGTTTTTATTTCTAGTTTCATTTTGTTGTGATTGGAAGCAGACCTTTGTGTCTCAGTATTTTACATTTCATTAGGACTTGTTCTGTGCCCTGATGTACCGTCTGTCCTAGAATTCCATGCACGCACCCTTAAGAAAGATGTGTGTTTGCCAGTGCTAGGTGGACTCTTCAGAATTGTCTGTTAGACCAAGTTGGCCTGATGTGTGTCTGTCCTGTCTGTGTTGGAAGTGGTGTATTGCTGCTGGAGAGTTGTGTTTCCCTTCAGCCGTGCAGTGCTGCCCTGTGCTCTGGACTCTGATGCTCAGTGTGTGTGACTTGCACTTTATGAACATGTGTCCTTCCTGGTGGCCTCTGCGGTTTTAACTTTGTCTGTTCTGTCTGACATTAGGACCAGCCCAGCTGTCTTTGGTTTCTATTTACATTCTTTCACTTTCAATGTTTTTTGTCTTCAGATCTAAAGGAAGGGACAGCATACAATTGGATTATGTATTTTAATCCATTCTCGTAAATCATGCCTTTTTCTTTTCTTTTTGAGATAGAGTCTCACTTTGTCACTCTTGCTAGAGTGCTGTGGCATCACAGCTCACAGCAACCTCAAACTCGGGCTTAAGCGATCCTCTTCCCTCAGTCTCCCTAGTAGCTGGGAATACAGGCACCCACCACAATGCTGGGCTATTTTTAGAGATGGGGTCTTGCTCTGGCTTAGGCTGGTCTCCAGCCTGTGAACTCAGGCAGTCCACCACATGCTAAGATTATAGGCGTGAGCACCATGCCCAGCCAAATCATGTCTTTTTTGTGTATGTGTGTAGAGACAGAGTCTCACTTTTTCGCCCTTGGTAGAGTGCAGCAGAGTCGCTCCAGCAACCTCCAACTCCTGGGCTTAGGC